CATCATGGTTGGATGTTATTTTTTTTCTGGGATGGAGACTTCTCAAATCCTAAATGAGTTTATTAAACAAACTACTCATCTTTTCAGGCCCAAAGGAGTGGAATTTGTAGGATAACTGCAAGGAAGCAATGTGTAACTTAGTGGAGAGGAAAGGACTGAGTAGGTCTAGACTTTTTCTTTACAGTTATTGTGGAGAAGTGATGAAAAAATACTCTCAGTCATTGTATTTGGGGCTTATACATTCATATAAAACCTTATATGAATCTCTTAGTGTTTTCCTAAACTATTCCAGCAGCATTACAATTTTGAAGTAGGGATTATACTTGAAAATCATGACCTGGGAAAGAATTCATAAATACTCCTCTAAATAAGATATAAGAGAATACATTTGTGACTCCAGGATAGAAAATGCATTATTACCAAGTCAGTCCAAGCGGTCACGATGTGCAGTGAGGAAAGTACATGGTTTCTGGCGTTCTGTACTTGCTTGACTGAGTGCTGTTGGATAATTTCTGTGTAACAGAAATACGAACATAAGAAAGACTTCTCTTTCTCAAATAAAACTAGTTCCTTCAGAAGACAAACATATGGAGACAGTAAAACTGAAGCCAGTGATTCAGCTGAGGCACTGATAATCTGTTTTATGTGTCTTTGTCCCTTCACTGTCTTTCTGCAACCTCTGTTTCTCTTTGCTTTGGTTCTATATATGTTACTAAACACATTTTCTTGTGAAAAACTGACCCTTGATGAATTATTTTCCAATACAACCAGCCTGTGATCTTGACTGTCAGAAAATACAGTCACTGAGAATTTTTATCCAAGAATCTTATTTTAAGTATGTTTAAGGATCAGTTTGACTCAGTTATATCCATAGCTATAACCAGGGGGAAGAAGAAAGCGGACACATGGGTTAGTACTTGAAAGATTTCATTAAAATTAAGGAGTTCATAGTTCATGTGGTACATGTTTCTTGGCCAGCAAGAGGACAGTGATCTACCGAGAACTAAAAAATGGCATATTTGAGGATGGCTTTTCAGTGCAGGGTTTGAGATCCAGAGTTATCTTGCTTTGCCCTTAAACTGCTCCTGCATGGTGCAAAGGCTAGAAGAGGGAGAGCTAAAACTATGAATTGTACTTGGTTTTTTTTGTGGTGTAGCAGTCTCTTAAATTAGAATCATTTAATAGGTGGATAATTGTATGAATAGACAGGAGAGATCACAATGGCTCAAACTTCTTTGTGAAGTTCCTAGGTACCTTATATCTGCGTTGCTTTACAGGTAATACAGTCTGTGCAACTGTATCTGCATATCTTGACCCTCTAAGAGGGTATGCTGTATGTTCTGTTTGAAGACTGAGGTCTTGCTACATTTCTTTGTGTAAGGGACTAAAGGAGTAGAAAGACTTACTCAATCACTTTGAAACCTTTCTTTTGTAGGGTGATTTTAAAGAAACTGGTTATTTGTCAAGCACATGTAAATGTACCTTTGTAAAAATACCCTGTACGTGTTTCTACGGTCACGTAATAACAGACAAAGAGACTGTCTGTGCCAGGCAGACAGGAGCACTCTCTCAAGGAAGTGCAGGTAGCACCACAAATAACTTACCTGATTGATATTGGTCTTGTAATAAATTTATGCCTTAGCTTAAAGAAAAAATAAATAAAAAAATGGCATCAAAGCTTTTATAAACCTTAATGGAATTATATTATCTAGAGTTTGTTTTTTTCATCAGCAAAAGCTGAGTCTGATTTGCTCTTGTTACTTGTAAATGCTCACATTCCTGCATTATATCCGGCAGAGCTAGGAATAGATCAGCTCTTGTGATTCCATAGTCAGTGCCTTAAGGACATCACTGACCTTCCTCTACTGGCAGGGTATCTCTATTCCATATGTTGTTATAAAACCCTTACTTGGAGCTACTAATTTACTAAGGACATTTCAATTCTTGCCCACTTCATTTAGTCTTGCTTTCTTAAGTGGCAAGAAGTAGAAGTGGTTTATATTTTGAAGTATCTAAAAAGTATCTGCACAGTGTTTTCACAACTGTATCTGGTAGCTTAGTGACAAAAATAGGAGTGAAAAGCTGCATAAACATAGTCATTTTACAGAGCTCTCAAGCAAGTGAGCTGGATCTGATTTCCTTCCTGTCCACCAGCACCAGCAAAATTCTTTGCAAACCTGCCATGGACAAGTCAAATCTTTTATCTGTAGGGAAAAAAAAAAGTGGTTATATATGTTTCCCTGAAGACATAATTGGCTTTCAAAGCCTTTCTGTATCTCACATTTATCAACAAAACTCCTCTTGACTTTCACATGGTGAAGTGGTTCTGCAAGGCTTGTGCTTAGAAATTGAGGTGTATTTTATTAAATTTATTTTATTAAATGGGTGTTTGTCAAATTTAAGAAAAGAAAGTATTCCTTAATGTTATTTTTAGTACTCTTAGGTGCAACTGATGTTTACTTTCATTAGCATACATAAATTACTGTAATATTTTTAATTAAAATCTAATAATTATGTGAATATTAGACTTTTATTACCAAGTCAAATACAACACTTAAGTTTTTGCTTACTTTCTGAATAGGTCTGGTCTTTATATCTGATTGGAAAAGGTAAAATACAGATAATTTCACTGAGGAAAATAAACCTTTGCTTCACCTTGCAGACAAATAGGTCAATTTTATTTCAAGAGTCTTTAGTACCCAGGGATAAGGAAAAATGGCTTGGGTTATTTTTGTTTCTTTCCCAATAAAGTCAGTAATGCGGTGCTCCAAGTTTTGCAGCTACTATTTCCCAAATGTTTTTTCATAAGATCCAAGGAAAAAAGATTGTAGAGGGAGTTTTTTTTTCCTGTTGCTGTAAACATATGCATGTTTAATATTCCTGTGAGTAAAATGCCTACAGGATCAGGCTCTGGTACCACAAGTTATTTTCTAAATCTTACAGCAAAATTTAGGAGCTATATTATAGAATTTTGAAAACGTGCTCCCATAGGAAATAAAAACTGTGTGCCTGAAAGGTAAAAAACCTAATTGCAAATACTTGACATTTATCATAGCTATAGTAGAAAAGGTTGTTAATTCCAAATGTTACAGAATTAACACTTTAAACTTGATCTCAGGAATACTTTTTATTTTCTCAAAAGAGTCATAAGGATTTTGGACTGGAGTTTAAGAGAGAAAAATAAAAGTCAATAAATACCTTAAACCTAGAAGGTTAGTTGCTATGGATCTGTTACTGCTATAGACTGAATGTAAAATGAGTCAAAGTTAAAACTGGACTTTTATTATTGAAGCAAGGAAATGGGTAGTATCTGCTGTATTTTACCTTTTTTCATAGCTTTACTAAAAGCTCTTATTTTAAAGCTAACTGAACAAGGATCAAATGTCTGTCTCCAAAGAAATTCTCTTTGTGACTTGGCATCAGTTTCTTATCAGTTTTTTTCCATATTGTGTGTCTCAATCAAGAACAGGTTTTGAAAGTTTAGGAAAATATTTGTCTTTACTTCCTGTTGCTTGGCAGTATTTTATTATTATTTGAGAGCTGCTGGTAAAATGCCAGTGCAATGCAGGTTTTAGTTTTTGGGAGGGAGCTGTATTTTTTTTTTTTTGTGGTTATGGTGTTCGCTCCTCTTGTTCATCGACAGAACTTACCTAAGCCCTACTGATTTTAGGATTACAGGAAGGTGATTTAGGATGAAAATAGATGCTTTGAATCCATAGATTCTGAAGTATCTTGTTGGTGCTAGTGACATGTTTTTGTCATTTAGAAAACTTACAAAACAGAAAATTAGATGCAATCAAATTGTTTATTTTTAATTTGCCAGTATGTAGTTTCTTATGTCTTGGAGATGAGATTCTTTTCTAGATATTTTGAGGTTACTAAAGAGTGTGCTGATTTCCAGTTACTGAGGGAAAAATATTATAAATATGATCTAGTGAAATTAGCATGGATTACCAAGTCAGTTCTGAATAATTATAGGACATATACATCAGATGTGTGCTCAGTAATATACTTGCAGTGACTGCCTATGAAGCTACAGTAGCCTGCACATGTGATACGTTATTGTTTGAGATGCTATGAATACTTAGTACAAATGATTTTTTCAGAATGTCTGCAGTATTCAGGTACAGGGAACACTATTTCTGATAGTTCAAGAGTTATAAAAGAAATATCCAATATTACAGTTCTAACATCTGTTTAATAATTTGTTTTACAACAGGATTACTGCTTTGTCATGCTGCATAAAAGCAGAAACTGTTTTTCTGCTATTAAGCACATTATGAGACCTTTAAAAAAAGATTATAGCTTGCCTTATCATGTAAGCAATGCAAAATGTTACCCTCTTTGACCAAGAAGGAAAGAAAAAACCCTGACTTCCTTAGTCAAACCATGTTAATGTAAACAGATTTGTTATGCAGATATTTGATACATAAAGTAATTATGTGAGTGGGGGTGATCAAAAACTTGAGTTCACAGAACAGCCTTCATTTCACTCACTTGTAACATTTTATGTGCCATATTTTTGGGCCTTGGTTGCATTGCAAAAGTAGAAATTGCATTACTGAAAGGGGTGTTTTGCTTCTGCTTTGAATATAATTAGTTAAGAATCAGAAAATTGAATTCCATGGATTCACTGCATCTATTCTTATGCTCAGTTACTTTCCTGAAACCTTAAGATCAGGAGTACTGAAGTATGTTTTGTTTGCTGGAAAAAGCCAGGAAAAAAACCCTGAGACTGTAACCACTCAGTGTGAAGTGCTAGAATGCAGTCTTTAATGATTTGTTTTTTGTTTTGACAGTGAAGACAAAGTTCTGAGTGATAGAAATGCATGTTGTTCTGCTTATTTTTATAGCCAGAGATAATCAGCGTGGGCCTTTCCAAGGACAGAAGACAAGTTTTCAAGCTCTTTGGTTGGTTGATTTCTGGTTTGTCCTACCCCAGTGTCTTCTGTCATTGGCTTTGAGTAGGACTGAATTCACATAAATGGAGTGACATGTACTAGAGCCTTAGTCTTTCCTTTGTGCTGACTCTCCAATATTTAGGCTATGAGAAATTAGGCTTCGAGGAATATTGTTAACTACTTTGTTCTGCTTTATGTTATCATCTGGATGAAGGTTGGCGAGTTCTGTGAAAAGCAGGCATGAGTTTGTCTTCCAGAAGAGTAACATTGCCTGCAGTTATGCCAATAACTCTGCAGAAAAGGGTATGGCATTTAAATCAGTCTTGTAATTCTGATGTTAGTATGGGTTGGTGACAACATTTAAATATGGCTATATTTATTTTTTCACTTATTATTTCATTTCTCTTATGTAATAAGAATGTTTCTTTTCTGATAAATGTAGATTTTTTTATTTTTTTATATGAAATATGTTTGCATAATATACATAAATATTATGCGTACATAATTGAATTTTTTTACGGGTGCTTTTTCTCTCTGTTACTTTAGTTTTGTGCTTTGTACAAGAAATTATTTTTCTTAGAGATTAATGTAGTTTTAAAATATGAAGTACCATGATTACATTAAAGTATGCCTCTGTAGAAGGCTATGTTACTGTTCCTAATGGAGGATTACTGGAATCTGCTTCCACAGGTTTTGCACCACCTTTAAACACAACATACTTTTTCCTACCTTTTCTGGCTAACACCTTATTAGTGGATGGCCCATCAGATATTTTGGGAATTAGGGTGACACTTCACAGTGTTTCTCCATAGACACTGTACTTGCCTTTTTTTTACTGTGTCAATAAAAAGTGGAAGCAATGCAAAATCATTACATCTATGTGCAGTAGGATTGCTTAGGGTAACTCTATGCATGGGGGTGTCTATGAAGTTAAAAATACACGTGGAAATGAAGTATGGAAATATGACTCTCTGCTGAGCCAGATATATTAACTTATAAGAAGTTAGTTCAAACAAGCTGTAAGTTATTAATTAGTTCGATTTATTTTGTAAATGTAGATATTTTTCAAAACCTTATTGCTGCATAATATGCCTGACTCACTTTTAATAGACTCTCTGTTACTCAGAGGCTTTTAATATACCAGCATTATGAAAAATGAAAGTTCATTGAAATATTACTACAGTATTAAATGGTTCTCATAAGCAATTTACATAGAACACAGTATATACTTATGGCATAAGTCCAGTGGGTCTAAAGTAGTATATGAACACGTAGAGCTTTCATTGATTTGGGATATATGGTATTCTTTTAGATTATTTCATTGTTTGAGTTGGAGGGGAAGCCTGTGAACATACAGTTTTACTGGGATTGATTTGTACAGATTAGATTATACTACTGTCTTAATAACATACTACTTTTCTGGTATAGTAACTTTCAGATTTAGATATGTGCGAGATGTGCTCTTACACAGTGTTATCTAACAATTTGCTATATCTCTGTTACACTTCTCAAAAATATTCCTTCAAATATTGTGGTTTAACTTTTCAGCTCTCGTCCTCTTAATCCTGTGGTTCCTTCCTCTTCTTCTCTTCCTCCCCCCAACACTCCTTCAGATCTCAAATCTTCAGTTGTCATAGTTATTATTTTTGTCTGGTTTTTGTTATTTGCATGTTAGGAGAGAAAGGTCTTTGTTCTTGCAGCATGTAGTTGTGTTAGACTCCTCTGGTATGCACACAGCAGTACTTGGTGCTGTGTGGGAGGGGAGAGGTGTAACTTTGCTCAATCTAGCATTCAGAAGGCTAGGAAACTGTACTGTATATTTCAATGGGTTGCTTTTCTTTTTTTTTGTGTTGAGAGGTAAGAATAATTCTCCGAGGAAACGTAAGAGTTTTTCTTTTTTGATAAATTCAGAGTAAGATAAATTTCTGTGCATCCTCTCTCATTTTTACTTTTCATGCTACTATCAAGTTAGCTGTCAACAGTTACTGGCTTTACTTCTCTTTATCTGTGCACTTTGTAAGCCCAAAATAAAATTAATGGAAGTAGTAGGAGGAAGCAGCACAGGATGTTGCCTTAGGTAGGTAGCTATTGAGTTACTGTTGCAAAAAATTCTTGAAGGCATATGTCCTCACTGAGGGCTCACTCTATGCCAAATTTATTAGGCTTGTTTATGCTTGTGATGGTTTTATCTGTTCATGTAGAATTCCTCCTGAAATTATCTCTTCTTTCTATTTAGAAGGTGCTTGTGTTATTTCTGTAGCAATATTCTAATTTCTAGAACTGGAATACTGCAGGAAGGGAAGGCAGGAAGGCAGACTAGAGCCATGCTTGTAAGGGGTAACACGTGCATGTGTAAATTTGTTCTTGTTTCTTGTGGACATTAGAACCTTAGACATAACCTTTGACTTAAAGTAGTGCACTTTCTATTTCTTGTAGCACAAGAAGGACCTAGAAAAGTAGAAATGTTACATTAGCTCTGCATAGTCAAGATAAACTTAAATGTTAGCTCATGAAGTACTACTTTAGAGTATCAACCATCCCCAATCATTATTTCTTAAATTCATAGAGTGGGTAATCGTGTAAGAAGTCTAGTTTAATTATGGTACTGCAAAAATTGCAAGTATTTTTGTCCCCCTATTTCTCTCTCACAAAATGTAAAATTTTGCATTGTCAATGTGCTAATCTGACTGTTCTGCCAATTTCTTGAACACATGGGTTTTTCTCATTTTCATTCCAAATGCCTAATATGCTTTGTCCAAAGTTATTTCATACTTTGTGTTTTAAAATCTGATGTGAAGTGCTCATCACAGTTGACGTGTTTCATTCTTAAATAATATATTTTTAACTAAAGCTGCCGGGCCTTGTTTAGGTTCCAAGGAGTCTTTTAGCACAAACAGGAAAATTACATACTTAATAAGCATGGGGAATTATGTATATTGAGTACTATCGCAACCAGATTTATAGCATGTATAGACTAGATGTAATTAATCCAATTTCGAGTAAATGTCTTTATCTTCTGTATGAATAACTCTGTACTCCTCCAAAAGTGTTTTTAAGAAATTAGATTTGAAAGGTCATAATGAATTCAAGACACTGTTTTACAGTCAGTTAAAGACCAATCATTTATTCAATATAAACACTCACAAGTCTAATAGACTTGTTATATAATAAGGAGGGTCTTGGGCACGTGATGTTGGATGCAAGGTGTAGAAACAGAGAGACTTGTAGATTTTTTCCACAACAGCTGGGAACTTCATAGCACACTAGGTTGGATGCTGTTAAGAAGCATTGTGTACATGGGCAGTATGTATTGCAGCTGCATAATTTTCAGTGATTCTTGAAGGGATTGTGTATTGTCTTTTAAATGGAAGAAGTATTGATTAGAAAATGAGGATATGATTTAGATTGCTCAAATCTAGGCCTGCTGTAAGCATGGAAATTACAAGATTCTCTTGCATCTTTATTCCATTTATTTTTCTGCCCCAAAATCACATGCTTTAATCAACACTTACCCCTCTCCCAAGGAAAAATGGTCACTTAAGCCAAATTGTATCGAGAATTAGTAATGTCTGTCTGCAAGACTAAGAGCATGAAAGTAATTTTTCAGTTTTGCATTTGGATTCCCTGAGATGAAAGGCCAATGTGCTAATCCAGAAATTTTACATAAGGCACTTTAAGTGACATGATAATGGGGTCATTAAGTGGGTACCTTTTATAAAATAACTGGAGGCAGACCAAGCATTCGTGTGTGAAACATCTCTTTGGAAGGACAGTTTGAAAAATAGTAATTTAAAGATGCATAAACAACACCAGTGCCCTTTTTGTCTTTTCTACAGTAATAGAAAAGAAATACAATAATAAATAAAATAATTCAAGACCGGGTTGGATGGGGCTTTGAGCAATGTGGTCTGTGGTCTGTGGAAGGTGTCCCTGCCCGTGGCAGGGGTGTTGGAACTAGATCATCTTTAAGGTCCCTTCCAACCTAAGCCATTATATGAGTCTATAATACAATAGTAAAATGTTTCTATAATACAGTACATCCTTGAAGTTTTGAAGACAGATGAGAGGAGATGGAGAGAGTGGGCTTTAAAGGCCTAAAGAGTAGTGGTCAGCAAACCTGTGGTAATTGAGGTGAAATATTTGAAGTTTTTATTCAAAATAGAATATTTTTTTTAATGAAATTTTGTGGGGTCTGAAAGAAGTAAAGAGGATAACCATGATAAAGCAGTAGGATTAGCCTCACTGGAGATTCAGTATAGGATTAGGTTTTAAGATAAATTACTAGGATAAAACATCAGTATATGCTAGTACTGTATCTACAGAGTTTGATACGAACAGAAGATTTTGAGCCAGGACAAGAGTTGACAAAGGTTGAGAAGGATAAATATACATGGGCATGGGCAGAGACCCGAACTGAATTCAGGAGAAGGTTAGTGTGTTTTTTGCAAGAAATTTATATTTAAAATTGCCAGAAGGCCAAGCTAGTATGTAGGCTCACAGAAAGGTCTTGCCAGCTTAGCACATCTAATATGTGCTAATATAGCTGCATTTTGTTTGGGGACATCTGGAATTCCTGCTTACTCTTAATACTGAAAAACTTTGTGAAAGTAGCTTTAGAAGTATCTATCTCAGATACTTGTCTGAGGGAGCATACAACTTTCATGTTAGCTATGTAAAGATTAATGAACTGCCTAAAACAGTCTTCTGTCATACAATACTTGCAGATACTAAGGTACCTACTTGTGATAGAGGATGGCATGCGGCTAGAGATTCAGTTTATGGATGATAGGGAAGAAGGAGGGTGGCAGACTAGCATTTTCTGTCATCATGGAAGAGCTCTGGTTAGGTCCAGGGACTGTTTAGGAGAGAGCTACAGACAGGGCTCCTCAAGGGAAGGTGTTGCAGCACTTTTCTCCTCCCTTATGATGTTGGCCAAATAAATCTAGATGTGATACTATACTTGAGAAGGGTTCTAGACCAATTTTTGCATTGAATAGTACTCTTTATACTCAAGCAGGCACCTAAAAATGGATTCTGATATAGCAGTCATATACCAGTTGACCAGTCATATTTCCTGCTTTGACTAGCATAAAACCAGTAAAGCTTCCTACTGTTTTTATTTTGTATAAAACTGATCCCACGTGTATAAAAGAAATCAAAATGGGACTAACTTTAGCAGTCCCTATGGTTCAGGTGTGGGTGGGGAGAGGGAGGTTTTTCCTATCCTGTGACATTCCAGTGTCTACAAACAATCAAATTTTACAGGATATTTTGTACACAAAATCATCAGTGGTCTTGGAATT